ATGTTTGATAAAAAAATTTTCTTATTTTTCTTTTTCATTAACTCCATATTTTTTTTAAATATAACTTACGGTTTAAAAAAAAATAAATTATCAAAAGAAGAAATTGAAAATTATTTAATTGCATACATTTACTTGATATGTGCTATTCATATCGAAGTACATTCATGTTCAGAATAAGTATAGCTCGTAAATTAGTTAAAATATCTTGACAAAGCAGATGCCAGACATTTAACTCATTGGCGTATATCAATCAATAAGAGAAGATTTGCAGAGGTAAATGTCTAAAATCGCTCATCAATTGACAATTGAATTGCGTAAACAAATAAATTGTCTTGTTTATATATTTTATGTGCCTCCATTTTTTAGAGTGTCTCATCTTAGTTTCACAGAAAAATCAATCTTATATTACAAACTTTGAAAATGTCTGCACCATTTTTGACTTAATGTTTTATCTTCAGTGTATGAACGAAAAAACTTAATAAAAGACACTTGTTTTGCAAATAATTCGAGAGTAGGACTTTAGAAAACAAAATGGTTCTAACATTTTCAAAATCAAAACTTGCACTCCGTTTCGCGAGAACATGGATCATTGTATCATCATTGTAGATCTACATTGTGTCTTTTCTCTTCATCATACCTGTGACCGGCATCAATGGCAAGCAATAATGACAGTAAAATTTTTACTATGGCGGAAGTTTGTGAACTTGCTCAGGATCAAAATAAATGTATTTTGATAATCAACAATCATGTGCATGATGTGACCCGATTTCTTCTTGCGGTTAGTCGATAGTTCGTTACTGATCAATACATTATTCTATCTGTTTCTTTTAGCATCCAGGTGGACAACAAATATTGAGAAAACATCATGGGAAAGATGCATCGATCCCTTTTGAAAAAAAACCACATAGCTCATATGCCCACCAGGAAATAAAAAAATATGAAATTGGTCAACTTCATCCTGTAAGCATGTTTTCTACTTAAATTCGATTTTTGATTTATCAGCTGTTTTGTTGCTATTCTTTAGGATGATACACAAACACCAGTAAAAGAAAATGTAAGAATTAGGGAAGAGAAGATATTCTTACGTGATATGATAGCTACCTTCTCTTAGTTTGGTTACTAGAACGTCAGATAATTGTTCAGAGGATGCCTGCATATGAAAATCAGAAAATCAATTGAAAC